TCATCCGACCGTAGAGATACTCTGTACCGTGAGAATTATAATACCAACAAGCCGTTACCAGCGGAGGTTTATCTACAGCAAGACAACAGTCCGTCCTTATGTTTTCTTAGATATCTCTTTAAATCCTAATTTTGTTTATTTAGTGCATATAATGGGCGACATTCTAACCCTAGAGGGTGCGGCGGTCAAAAAGGAACAATCAGATAATGAGTCTGGTGTGAAAACTGAGGAAGAAGAAGATCAGGTACAATTTCTGTTTAATGAGTGATTTTGTATGTATCAATTTTTTGCAGAAGTCGTTTGAGACCCTCGATGAATGCTTCAAAACGATGTTGGGCATGTCTAAAGGCCGGCTTGTAAATAACTTCTGGAGCGGTAATGTTGAAGGTGCCTCATTTCTAATTAAGTTTGCATTGTCAGAGCGGCAGTATTTCATTATTTAGAGAACGAACTTCTGCAATTCAAAGCGGCACGTGATTCAGAAGGGAGCGGTTCTCGTCCGGATCCCTCAAAATTTTTCCGCATGGGAAACCCATGCGATGACAACAGTTTTAGGTATAATCATCTAGTAGTTGATGAGAAGCAACCATCAAAATGTTTATAGCAAGTACAACAATCTTTTCGTTGAACATAAATATGGTGAACATCCTACAACAAAGAAGAAGATCGTTGACAAGAAGAAATACCTCTGCACCAAGTTTTCTTTGATGGAAGATGGAGAATGGGCGTTCGAAGTAGGTTGACTTTCTACTTGCTGGAATTGTTAAACATTTTACTCTTTGTTTACGGTTAGTTTCACTCTCCTTTTTTTCCTTTTGCTTTGATTGCATTTTTTCATCAAGCCTAAAAGATTTTTCACAGCAGCTTTTTATCCTCATCACGCCGCTCATATTCTGTATATTTCGAAATACGTTCCTCACCTTCAAGACTTTCTTTCCAATGAGACTTCTCTTCTTCCGTTATGTTCTTATGACCCATCTCTATGCTAGCTTCTCGGGCTTTTGCTTTCGATTTACACCATGCTGGCTATCAGTATTTGCTTGCGTACCCTAGTGCACCACTTTCAGTAGTCTAAGGCGAAAAGTGCTGAGAATCATGAATTGAGATTGATATGTTTATGGATATGTTAAGCTATATCATCTGCCCTATGTACAAGGTGTATGTTAAGTGTGGTAATCGCTCATAAATGGGCATCGCATTTGGGACATTCATGCAATTAAGACATGCACTCTTTCATATGTATGAATCATCCATCGCGTCGTCAGCGGAGTCAATCGAAAGCACAGCTGCGCTAAAAGCATTGTGGAGTAAAAATATCATAACTCTTCTCTTTTAGTTCACCCCTTCCAGTTTTCAATTTCTTTCATTTATTTTTTTCCAGATTTTGAATACGTTTTTCTGCTTATTTCTGTGTTTTACTCAATATTCTTCTTGCTCCTTTGTCCATCCCATTATCGTTGTTTAAGAAAGATTTAAATTACAGTGGTCTATAGCAAAAGGACATACTTTGTATGGCAGTGAAAAATTGCAAACGCTATATGTCGCGTGGACCATTGGGAAGCTTTTAAGAAAAATTCCCACGGAATTGATGCAACGGAAATGGCCAACTGTGTATGCCGATTTTAAGAAGGTTAGAATGACAGTGTATCGAGCTGACGATGTAACTATAAACTTGTAAAATTTCCCCCCGTGATTTACTAGCTCTTGTTTCAACAGGAACTTGATCAACCAAACACCTCTTGGAAAAAGCTTCGGGAACTTTTGCTTCGCTTAGAATGTGGAATGAGGCGCACTCTTTTTTTACCGCAGTGGTGGAACAATCTTGGACATACCAGACTCACTCGAACGACCATTGAAGATAGGGACCGCATGATGAGGGAGGCCCAACGAAGAAAGAAAGAGGAACGGGTGAGTTTTTTAGCCACGTTTATTTTCTTACTCTTCACTTGTCCCTTCATAGGAAGCTGTGGATGTGGAAGATGAAGATATCATCATTGTGAAACATTCAAGAATCCCTCATGGTATTAGCAGAGAACTCACTCGAATGCGGGTAAGGTGTTTGCTACATTCTCTTTTCGGTCATACTATGATCGCACTTCAGGACGAGAAGTATCGTCTTTATGGTAAGGGGGAATTGGGCGGATGGTTGTGGATTTCGCGGACCTTAGTCAGAAAAATTCATGAGACGCCACCACCTTTCGTTGTTGGAAAACAGCGGCAAAACACGGTAAGATCTTGCAGATAACGGAGCTTCACTATTCATTTTGATTGCCTCTGTTCTGTTCAAAAAAGCTTCAATTTGAAAAAAAAAACAGATTGGTAGCGGCAAGAAGCTGTCTTCTGTTGATATGCTAGCATCTAAACTAATGGAGTGGAGGTCGCGGCAGGAAGCAGCAAATATGCAGAAGAACTGCGTATGTTACTCGCCCAGTTGTCGCATAGGCATCCCTCCAAGGTATTGTTTTCAAGCTGTTTTATCACTCTTTTCCAGCTACTTGTACTCTCTTCAGACCGGTTTGTTCTAATGACGCAAGTGCTGGCTATCAGTCTTGTTACTCGCAAGAGTGTCGACAGAAAGAATTAGAGGTGGATGGATTGTTGGAAGTGAATCCTCCCTGTGCATCTTTACGTAAGGCTTTTTACATTTGTTTTGTAGTGAGGTAAAGTTAGATAAAGTTTTTGTTTGTTCCAACAAACTAGGCAGCTTAAAAGTTGGAAAAAACAATTATTTCTTACTATTGCATTATTGCTTTGTTTTATTTTCTCGTTTTTTCACTCTCACTATACGTATCTCCTTATAGAGCCCATAGAATCCTTAATTTTTGAGGAATTATCTTATTTTGCACCAGCTGTTTTAGGCCCCTCAACAAGCACTTCGGCAGTTGTCAAGGCATACGACCCCACAAAAATTCGTGAGCCGCGCAAAGGAGTTTTGGGAGAGGATCTGCCATGGCCTTTGCCGGAAGTCAATCACTTCGTGGCTAAGGGATCGAAGCGCACTAGCATTTTCGTTTTGCCACAAGTGTATGTTTTATTTACTCATTGGACATGTACAACAAAAATAAATGTCATACATACATCAAAAACATAAACCAAAGAAAAAAAGAAAACAAAAGAAAAGAGAATGTCCTCGCTAAATGATAACTAGTCCTGCACTGTTATAATCAAAATGTTTTTATTTGATGTGTCTTATTTCATTCATCTTGCATTTAAGCACTCTTCGGCGGTTAGCAAAAACAGGTGGACGAAAGGCAATTTATGTGCCGAGCTTCTCTACCACTGCGAAGGGTAATTTGCAGTATTGGAATTATCCAACTCCCCGTCCATGTTTTGATCTTTGTTGGAGGTATTGTCTCATGAGCGCCTGTCGTTTCCACTTTGATGCATGTTTTATTCGTTATAGATGGTTAACCGTGAACTGTGCGTCGCTACATGCTGTTGCGCTCCAGCTGCGAATACTTTGGGCTTCAATACGATGGCAAGACATGAAACCAGAAGATGATGTACATTATATGTTATTTTCTCAATTCAATCTTCCCTGACGTCCTTACATTGAAGGATCCTGATAGGCGTATCGTCACTCATTTTCCCGATCGTGATGAACGCAGATGGATAACTTCACACAAGGAGTATGCACCGCCATGCATCTACGAAAGGTTTGCCTGTTTCGTAGACTGAAACCTTTTAACACAATTACTTTTTCGTCTTATATGTTATAGTGATATTTAGTTATTGCTTATCAATTTAGGTACCGTATCTCTATTGAAGTGTTACCTCTAGATGACGACAAAGAAATTGAAGAAGAGGACGACATATCATGGACAAGCGGCGAAAGGGCTGAGAGGAGAAAGAGTAGGAGTACTCGCGGTTACTGCTTTTTCTAGACAATTGCCTTTTTTACTATCTCAGGCACAAGGAGAAAAAAACCCATTCATTCATCGAGTATTCAGCGAGTTAGTCATTTGAAGGAAGAATGGGTTGATGGAGTAGATCTTAAACTGCATGAGATATAGTATGTTTTCGATTTAAATCATATTTTGTTTTTTTT